TATTTAAAACCACCAATACGATTAAATTATTTACCAAACATTTGAATATGTATGTTTCTACTTAAATTATTATTCATTAACAATGTTATTTATGTTAATTAATTAAATATGTTTGTTTTACGATAATATGTATGTACCTCTTTAGGTAGGTCAGGCCTAAACCGCACCTCGGCCATGCGTTTCATGTAGGCCAGACATGAAAACGCATGGGCAAGGTGCGATTTAGGCCCACCAAATTAGATCGCACTCTCAAGGTGCGATTTATGTGTAAAACGCACCTGGGGGATGCGGTTTATGTGTAAATCGCACCTGGAGGGTGCGGTCAATATAAAAGGGTGCTAGTTTTGTAAATATTTTTGACAGGGTGCTAGTTTTGTAATTTTTTTTTTTAAGGTGCTATTATTGGAAAAATCTCTCAAAGAAAAGGGGTGCTGGGAACAACCTTCCCAGCTAGGTACTCCCATTCAACTGGGCATACATCACAGAGGCTCAAAGAAAACCAAAAACTATCACCTGTTACACCTCGAATAGAGCTAGCTAATCAGCAAAGATTATCATCACCAGAAATCCAGAATTTTGCAGCTTCTTCCTCCTGCAACCGCACCAATACTTCACTTCGGATTACCTTCCTCAAACCCTCAAAACTTCGACGGTTCCCTTCATACAGTCTGATACATCTTTCTCTCCATATATAGCTTATCAGAGAATGCCAAATGATTCTTCCATTCCCTGCATCCTTCCCTTTCTTTCCAAATGCATCAATGGCCCATTTCAGACCATCATCCCAATCTCGAGGCATAAAAGAAGAAAAACCTCCCCAACAGATCATGGAATAATTCCCTGAAATACTCACACTGAGAAAACAAATGTTCTTTGCTTTCAGGCATCTGATTACAGAGGCAGCACACATCTGAACCAGCAAAACCCCAATTCTTCATTTTGTCCTTAGTTTGGATCCTATCCTTTATGATAAGCCAGACCAAGAATCGATTTCTATGGATAGAAGGAGACATCCAGACCAAGCTAGCCCAGGGAAGTGAACTTTGCTTAGGGCTTAAAGACTCCCAAACCATTTTAACAGAATACCTTGGCATTATAGCATCATTCCAATTTCCAATAAACCTTGCCATCAATCAAACTGAAGAGGTGATGGGATTTTATCCTTATACTCTGATGAACTTTTAAAATTCCAAACTTACCCTCACATTTACACATTATAAATAATTAATTAATTAACAACAAATAAATAATATAAATATTTAATTAATGTGTAAACATGAGTTAGAATTTTTATACTCTTTCTTGTGTTCTAATTTCCTCTGACCTTTTCATGGAACATGCAATTCTTCGTTCCCCGATTCTAATATATGTTGTTATATGTTACTTTTGAAAAGGAGGACAAGAATTGGTAATCGATATATGTTACGTTAAAATTTGAATGTCATTTTTATGTTTATTATTGTCCTTGTGGCAAAATTATACTTATTAGTACGTATTGTCATTGTTTTGTGTACATATAATAAACATGACAAAACAAATGGAAAAGGATTGGTAAGTTTGGACTTTAAGTTCTAAATCTCAGACCCTTAAATCCATGATAAAATATGTCAACAAACAAACGATTGTTGCAAATTCATAATGCATCAAATCCTTGATAAATCCTTGGGTTTTTAAATTACAAAACCCTCATTTTTAAATCAATGAAGAAAATTATCCCTAACTGATATTGGACAAAAATCTGTTAAAAATTACATGTATAAAAAGATACTAAATCACTAAATATTGATAAAATATTTTTTTCGAAATCGAGAAAAGTGTGAGCGACCGAAATGTTAATTTTTTATCTATAAACAAAATGGCGTCATTTTAGTGGAATTAACTAACATAAAGAAATAAATTTATCGGATTCAAGTATGAACATTAAGATGTTCTTATCTATCGGATTCAATATAGTTGATAATCGGTTCGGTTCGGTAATAACTGGAACTGTTTAGTCGGTTCTCGGTTAACCGATAGGCATTATCGTGCCATTTATATTAGTCGGTTAACCGTAACCGTATAGCAGTTTCTCGGTTATTTTGTCCGTTAAGCGGATAACGTTAACCAAGTGATTCGTCACAGTTATACCAAGCTAACCGATCAGTAGCATAACCAACAGATGACCTCTTCATTTTTTTCAATTGTGAATTTATGTAAAAAAAATTCCATATGTGTTCTTTTTTAAGTTGTTATCATTGAATAAAAAATAATTTAACATAGATATCAATCCATAATCAACTAAATCTAACACAATAACACAATTCCACCATAAGATTTTATTAAAGAAGCAGACATGAATAAAGATCCAACAACAATTACTCAACTCATAAACTCCCCACCAAATTATATGGAAGTTTAAATGTTATTGATTGTTGTCGAGCTACTGTGTGCAAGTCCAACTTTCTATTGTGCTCCTTCTAAAGCTTTTTTATTGTGCAAGTCACTATTACAACTAGTGTATGTAAGAGATCTTGTAGTTCTTCAAACATCCAATTATTTTTTTGTCTATGCATGCGACTCATTTAGGCCTATTATTTTTTACCTAACTAAGAAGATGGTCATAATCGGTTAGTCGGTTAACCGTTTAACCGTCTGTTACTAACCTTTTATGTGTCGGTTAGTAATTAACTACATTTGGCTACCGAAAACCAACCGTTTACTATTCAATCGGGTATCGGTGTAACTATTTATTTGATTCCGGTTCGATTATTGATTACACCGCTAACAAGATAAACGTTTATCATCCAGCCCTAGGATTCAAGTATAAGAACATCTCCAATGTATTGAGCCAAAATGGCAAAATATACGGCTAAATTTCACTTTATAACCCCATAACCCCATCAAAAGGTATTTTTGCTCACTGCATTGAGCCAAAATGTCAAATATCCAAATTTAAGTTTTTGTCTCCATTTAAGTTTAGAGTAAATTTCACCATTTTATTTAGATGATTGGTTCATTACATAGGTAATAATAATAATTAATTTTGACGAATTTTTCTATATAATTTTTTAATTTGAATATATTAAAATATATGATGTTATGAGAAGAAGAATGGTCTTCGGTTACCAAATATTCATAAGATAGAAGGTTTTAATGAAGTTCTGGAGGGTCCTAGTACTTTGGAGGATATTGATTACTTGAGAAACTTTTTACATGGGTCAACAATCACAAAGATGACATACATATTTATTGAAAAAATACTCGACCAAATGGTAACCTACAAAATCTTGACATAACATATATATGTATTCTTGTTAGAGTGTATCATTTAAAATTAGGGCTGGCTATTTGGTCTCAGACTGTTTGGTTTTACTCGAAACCGGACCGTATAACCCGGACCAGACTGGGACCGGATAGCAAACAATCCAATCTCATATTCGGGCTTAGATTTGAGGTAAAAAAACCCGGATAAAGACCGGATAAGAGACCCCCAACACCTAAAATCAAGATCAAATTGGGACCGGACCGGGTCAAGACCGAACCGAATCAAGACCGGACTGTATCTAATCTAATCTTTGGTCCTTATATTCCCGAAAAAACCGGACTGGAACCAGATCAATTTGGTCCAATTTAACCGGACCGGACCGTATAGCCACCCCTATTTAAAATGGTGTGGCGCAATATCATAATTTCATTTTCTTGCAAATTGAGTTAATGATAGAGGATATAAGGTGGGATTGATCGATTTTGAATCATTTTGCCAGAATTATGAAGAATGTGAAGTTGTGATATAAGATGCTGGAATGTGTGAAGAAACATTTTAGTGATGGAAAAAGAAAATTGCGAGGAGAACTTAAAGATTTAGAGTCGACAGACCTTTGGGAACTTGAAAAATTAAAGGCTGCAAGCTGTTGAACAATAATGGAATTAGGATTTTCTGTAGAGTGTTTTGTACCACACTTAGATGGTGCAATTTGAATGTAAATTAGTCTGGTAATGTAAGTCCTCTTCATTTATATTGAAATTAGTCACAATTTGTAGCAAAAGATTATGGTTTGTGATGTAAATTAGTTTGATTTGTAAAATGAAATGTGAAGGAAACAGAGTGTGGTTTGCGACTTTTTCAATTTGGTTTGGAGGTTGGTTTGCATAATTTGTAATAATGATTTGTATACTTTACAACATTAGTTTGTATATTTTTTATGATATGGCTTTTGTACTTATATAGTTTGGTTTGTAAGTTTTGTGCTATCATATTTTTTCACCGTATAGTATCATTTCGTATACTTTTACTATCTATTTTGTACGTTATATATTCCTAGTTCATATCTTTATAAAGATCAGACGTTATTTAGTAGGTTTTTCTAAATGGTTTTTAATTATTATAAATATTTTAGAAGCATCCATTAAAATTGCCTTCTTATTTATTAGATGATAAAAATTACCAAAATCATAGAAAAGAGAAAGACTCAAAGAAAGGTAGAGAAGGGAGGAAAAAAAAAGGAAATTTAAATAACTTTTCATAATGACAAAAACGTTTAATAAAAAAAATATTCTCTTATCTCACCAAAAAAAAAATTCTCTTATTTATATTTTTCGGTATATAAAACCTTTAATCTAAGGTCTAAGAGGAGTTTGGTCACTTAGACCATGGAACCCTGAGTGATGTGATATTCACTCGTTTAGTGATATCTGTTTTAATTGCATTCTAAAATTATAGGAAAATAAGAAATGTTTATACAACAAATTTTTTTTGTGAAAAAGTATATTTTGGTTCTGCAGGGAGGAAAATTTAATCAGTGAATGCATCGTAGTCACGTAAAACGTACAAGAATTTATGTGCAATCGTTATAACGAAAATGCATTTACGCCATAAATAGAAAAAGCAACTATACAATGAATCACGAGGAATCATGCATGCACCTAATCTGTTCCGGTTTTGTGTTCTTTTTTCTTGGTTGCTGCTTGTTCATAAACATTGGAAAAAAAAAAACAAAATTAGTACAAAATTAGTATTTGCTTCCTGTTGAAACAAAATCACAGCTTACCAGCATTAACAACATAACCTTACAACAAGGATACAACGAACTTCTCCAAAACTGATTCCAAGTTCCCCATAAATCCATCATCCTATATATACAGAGGATTTCCTCCTCCCTGCCACATTCAATCAGTAAAGAAAATCAATCAACCATCTGCATAATAAAAACACCCTCTCAAATCCCTTTCCTAGCTGCAAAAACCACAGCAAAAATGGGGTTCTCCATTACACCTTTGATCATCCCACAAGCCATCTTCACAGCAATCATCATGCTGCAGTTTCCACTGCTAATGAACGCTAGACAGTTGTCAATGTCGTCATCATCGATAGCGATGGCACCTGCTTTCGCGCCTGCCCCAAGCCCTGCTGCTGCTGCGACAAACTTGATCGAAGAAGTCTGCAGGAAAAGCAATATCGACGTGACAAAGTGCATCGAGACTCTGCAATCCATCCCTGATGCAGCATCAGCCTACGACGACATCCAAGCTCTGGCCGAGCTGGTCATGCAGGCCGCTAAGGAAGAGTCGAAGGCATTGGGCACAATGTTCAGCGCGATTCAGAGCAGCAAAGACGCGAACCCAAAGTTGAAGCCATCGCTGCAGTTGTGCGCTTTCGACTACAGTGACGCGGCTATCTTCTTCACGCCCAGAGGGTTGGGGGACGTGACGAAGAGTTTGGAAGTGCATTCTGCTCTGGATGACTCCCAGAACTGCGACAGCGAGCTGGCGAAGATCAGGAATGCTGGTGTGGTTGATGACTCGATTTCGGCTGCCATACAGAAGTGGAGGGATTTGTATGCAGTGGCCAATGGAGTCATACTGTATGCTGAAGATGCGTTCAAAGGCAGAGCTGTGGATGACCAAGGAGATGACGATTACAGCCCAGACTACTGACCTTCCCATAATCTATCATTGTTGTATTTGCGGAATTGTTCGATGTAATATGAAATGTTATCATGGAAGAGAAAAGCTTGATATATTAGAGCCAAAAGATGAATCAAGCTGCCGTTGTATTTGAACATGAAAGAACAGGCAATTCACACATTTCTATAAACAGGGTGTTAACTATGGGACTAGATTTCCTTCCTTTCCAAAGCAAATTTCTATCAGAAACTACAAGATTAGCCAAGAAGAAAAAAAAACCTCAGATCAGTTCCACTTGACAGTATTTAATGTAATTGAGGACCATCTCTGCTGCCTACCAAATTGAATCATGACAGCCGAGTTGGAGGATAGAATGAGTATACATGGGTCTGCAAGAATATATTCCAGATCATGAGGGATGACGAGTCACTCTTAAGATGGATCCAAGTTGGGAACAATGGCAGATGACAATTCGATATGAGAAACACGAACTGCGCCAATCAACCTTTCCGGCAACTCATCCGTAGCGTTTGCCTGCACGAATTGCATCATAGCCACGAGTAGAGTTGAGCCGAACTTTAAGTTTAAAGTGGGAGGAGCAAAATGCTATGAAATATGTATAGAGAAGTTGTAGAATACACGAACAGTAAATGTAGAAGCGGAAAAATTGCGTGAAACAAAAGCCAATTTGTTTCGGATTTGAAGGATTAGGCCTAAAAGAGACAGCAGACAAAAATGTGTACCTGTACAAGGAAAGCCATGTCAACCACCAAGGTAGTAATAACGCCGACAACAAGCCCCAGTACTCCATTAGCAACAGTGGAAGAACCAATATCGACATCCACCTATGATCATAAACCATCACAAGACAAACGAATCGTATCATGGTTTGGCTCGAGAGATTTTTCAGTAATATACAGAGTTCCAGACAGTCCTTACTTCAAGGTATTTTGGGCCGCGGATATAGTTGCAGTCAACTGCTTTGCCCAACAAGCATGGGGTACTTCCAACACTTTGGCGTACAATCCATGAGCCCTGTGGCATAGAATTCACATATACAAACAAATTTATGCATATTCTAAGTTCTCAGAGATCTCTTGGGAGTGTTCATGCAGTCAAACATCCAATATCAGCATATCGTTTCAATCTTCGTTTAGTTCAGGTGAAAATGGAGAGGGTGTATATCTATTGGTCAAAGATGTGCAAGATACACATGGATCTATTTAAAAGGTTACAAAAGCTCTAGCAAGCAAAACATAATTTACTGTTCAGCACATGCTGACAAGGAGAAGAAGCTACCTTGGGAACTGACGGAATAAGTTTAAACCTACTGTTGCGGAATTCATCATCACCATCAACAAACCGCTGCAACAGAGATCCAGGTACTAATGCTTTTGTCACAAAGTAAAACACCATGCTGTAATGAGTTGAACCAGGGACCTGCCGAACGATATATAAAGTTACATCAAGGACCAATATGTTTATAGAAAAAATTGACTTCATCATCCAAAACAATGACTTACTTGCAGATTGAAGACCACAGTGAAAAGTCCTTTCTCCGAAGCAACCTAAACAATAATATATCAGCAAAGGTAAAGCCATAGTCCGTGTGGATACGAAGCTCGAAGAGGACAAGGCAACAAGAAATGCCAAATAGCACCCCGTAACTTGAAAGAACAAAGAACTCTAAGGATAGATCAGATTAACTGAATAAGATTGTGTCCCTCATGCCTGTTTTCACTCATCCTCTTGTTATTATTCCCAACTTGCTACGTTTAGAACCCCTTGAACTCTCTATGAAACCTCTATGTGACACTAGGGCCTAGGCTACTCAGTGAAAGAAGGCTCTGTTGGCCCTGCTGTAACTTCTACGAGAACATTTGGTTTGAGCTATTAGAGAAATATGGTATGAAGAAGAAGAAAAAACGGTTGAGCTTTTGGTTGATAAAAAGTACTTTTTCAAATAAGAAGTAATGTTATATGAATTAAAAGGATATCAAATAAAAAATCAAGGATTTATTGAAAATAGCTTTCTTTTGTGTTAAAGCATATTCTTAACTGGATTGTTCAAATATTAAAATAATATAAATTAAAGGAAATATGTGTTTTGAGAAAAAACAATACAAAAATAAAGGATCATATTGTCCTTTCCAAAACAACATTTCGCACGAGCTTCAGATCAGAGCTTTTGCTTGTGTTATAAAAAGTGTTATAGAGCTTTCCTAAATCCCGATTCTAGAACATGTTTAGCCGGTCTTGTGCTTTTGGAGCAGAAAAGTTCTTGGAGAAGTCGGGCCAAACATAAAAGATGAAGAAGATGTGATATCAGGCTATAAGACTTCGGAAAATTTACCCTTTACGGTTAACAAAGGCTAGCTGGCTTTCTCCAGCAGGATCTGTTGATAAAGTATTCCTCTTTCAGTTCTATATATTTTTTGTCAATACTTCCAATGGGAGAATTCAGAAGAGATACAAAATAGACCTAGGAGAGCACCCATTGAAAAAATGTGCAAGTGGAAGCACTGAGAATGTGAAGAATCATACAGCGGCATACAACATTAGAAACATGTTCATTTGGTGGTGCTAAAGGTGTAGGAAAGGATGTGACAAAGACTTCTTACTTGGGCTGCACATCCTTGACGCCTTGCGACATGATCCATTCTTTTGGTGTCTTTGAACCAATCAACAGCAACCAGATCCATTAAGTGTTTGCCTGCTGGGATCTGCATAAAATTCCCATGCAGTCGAAGAGCAATTATGACCATGTGATCTTACCAAAACAATAGAGAAATAATTACCATAGGTAACTCGCCTTAGTTTTGTCAAAACAAAAGTTTTTGCTGCGGACTCTGAAGTTGTTCCCATCAGAAACTTTCCAGCAATCACGGGCCTTTTCTCGCTCATCATAACGTAAATTACCCACAAACCAGGATAGGTCAATCTTATCTCCAGGTTCTTCTTCTAAAGCTTCATATTGAGAAATCCCTGATTAGGTGGAAATAAAGGTAACAACACAAGTGAATCGGTGAATGTAAGGACTTTTCTAGCCAATAGTCACCTGTTTTCTTCACATCATTCGCCTGATTTATTAGGTAAGCCTAAGTAAAGAAGAAGAAAAATAGAAGGTCAAACGAAATTATTGAATAATAGTCATGCAGAAAATTAAGCAAACACCTCTCAGAAACCACCCAACCTCCTGCTCATCTTCAGCAATTTGAAATTCCTCATCGTCATCAGAGTATTCATCCAACATGGCTGAGTTTCTCCCAGCCGTATTTATTTGATCAAGAGAAGCAGAGTGATGATGAGCAGAAGAATCTTGCAACTTTAGACTCTTCTTAGAAGAAACGGAAGCAGAGGCCATATTGACCATAACAGGTATTCTTGGTGGAGCACCTCTTTCGTCTGTTTGGGCAAACCATTCACGCAGTCCTGAAAAAGGAGATACTTGAAAAACTCTAAGTAGTAGAATGATGATATGCTCTCATACGGATTTAAATAAATTTGAGCTCCTATAGACTTATCAGCAAGTGGTATCCTTAACATGCAACAAATCAGAACCAAAAACCAAAATTGCATGAATAACTTTTTTATGAATAAAAAGTGCATGTATCGAGCACTCACATGGAAAAGACACGCAAACAGGCAACAAATTAGCAAAAACAATATAACTGCCACATGAAAGTGAAGCAGCAAGCAAATCATTTATTAGGTAACATGGAAAACTAGGAAATTTATAGAACTACTGTATTTGAAATGTAAATGACCTAAATATAATATGTAAGAAATTTGTCACAGGTTCGTCTCTTTGGACATTCTCCAACATCTCAAGCTGATGGGACGAACTAACTCTTAAAACGTTATCTGAACCTCTAATAACAGAAAGATAATGTTTTTGACAGTTGGTATCCAACAATATTAACAATTGTTTAAGGACCTCATCCTTGGTTTGGATTTCCTATGATGGGGTGCGCAAAAGTAAGGTATAAATCTACTCGCGGGATCCCTTCCAATAGCACAACTTCTACATGACCAAACTACATAATAAGCAAAACATGTAAGATACTCTTAAAGTGAAATCAGGACAAAGCAGAGGACGGCTTAATTAGTCATCAAACGATGCACACCGTCAAATAAAGTTCTGTCGTTTGTCAGCTTAAAAAGCATAGAGACAATAATGCTATAGGCTGAACATCCAGTCAAATACCACAACTTGGGAGTTGATTATGGAAACAGTATTTTAGTTCCGAAGCAAAGATATCCAAGGGGTAGTTTCTCTAGTTAGCTGCAAAGCACAACAATAGAATGTGGACCTACGTCAAAAATTTCTCTTGCTTACTAAATGCCAAGTTTACACGCAAAAAGAAAGCAAAAGTGCGAAAGTTTATCAATTGTGAAAGCATGCAGCAACAAAGGGCAGTAGCCATTTGAAATAAAGGAGTTTTCAAGTATATTTATACAAACAAGCACATACCAGCAACACTATTCAGCATCTGAAGGAGGCAGTGCTGCTGAAAAGAGGAAATATAACCCACGCCCCATCCTTTCAAATCAATCTGTATAAGATGCTGAACCTGCGATCTAGGTCGGCCATTCCTAGGCTTTAGAGGAGAAATGTTGAACCCACCACCTGTTAATAGACAAATTTAACATCACAGAAACCAAAACAATGGCCCTCAATTTATGAGTACACCAAAAAGCATTCTAACTTACTCTCAACATGAGCCCGCACATAACCTGGTTGTGGACCGCAATTCTCATGGTCTCTAGAGCGAAACAAGACAACTGAAAAAAGACAAGGCAGCAGTTTCTGAAGCCAGCCCAAACTTAGGTATGAACAAGGATTGAAATATCAACGCAACTTACCATAACTGCCATCATCATTTCGCCGCCAATAGCGTACATAACAAAGGTCGCGTGGCCAGACAACCCTACAGACAGTCAACATACAAGCACCAAAGTCAGGATGAATTCTGTAGAGAACATGATGAGCATGGAGAACAACTTAAATCTACAGTGAATTTGTTTTGAATAGGCTTCAGACTAAGTAAGCACAGCATATCCAGTTCATTCCACATGGTAGGAAAATATTCTGTCCAAGTCCTCAATATCAATAGATTTTCTACTCAACATCTCAATTCTCAACCACATGGTAGGAAAATATTGTTCACACAGGCAACCATTTGTTAACATCACATCCACTTCTCTGTACAAGTATAATGGTAGCTTCAAATCATCAGGCTTAACAGCTTCGAAAATTTCAGGCTAAATCATATGCAGCACTACAAATGAAGCTAGTATAACAGGAAAGAGTATTACGTTGAAAACCAATCCAGTTGAAGCCTATGGTACAGTATTGCTGTGTGGCCATCTACCTCCTCAACCAAACTGCCATACTGGAAACTGCAATCCCACCTGCAAGAGGCACTTAAATACTGTTACACACGCTCCACAAGTATATAAGCATGAAATCGGGCAAAAACGTTAAGGATGGGACTAAGTTCATCAAACGGATACACAACGGTTGACGGTTACTATTACTAGTACACTTGGAAAGAACATAGATACGCATGGATTGCACATGGCAGTGAAGGCACCGCCCAATAAAACAAATAACTTTCCTGAACAATTGACTGTTGGCAACTAATCCTACCAAAACAATTGCAAACTGGAATATGCTTGAGAGGTATACGGGGAAGTCAGAAGTGCATAAATTTCTTTTAGATAACAAAAAATCTACAGACCAAAAAGAATGTTCAACAAAACTACTGACAATATCAGAAAACCTACTCAAACCGTGTCCCATCCATGCTCATTACTTGTTCAAATATTTCTTCACAGGTAGCTTCAACAACACCAACAGCCTTCATTGCTCTACTACAGCTCCTTGGCTACACATCAGACGAAAAATAATGGATATAAGAGTAGCAAACAAGGCACATATCATATGCAATAGCGAAACACGTAAAATTTTCATACAAGGTATTCAACTTCAAGAAGCTCTTCAAAAATGCGAAGACCTGCCATCACAAGAAAAAGAAAGAGAGTTAGATTGAATGAAGATGTTCGTTTTGGAGAAGGTGAGAGATCAGAGAATAGGGGTGCCCATGAACCCTTCCATTTCATCTACTTAGCGAGGGTTACGAACAAGGGATTTTTGCACGGGAAGTCACCATTTTGGCACTGCAGCAGCCGCCAATGCTTTCTAGAGAATGCTTGATTGTTAGCGTTCTGGTTTGTCAACTCCAAATCGATTTCTCTAGTCCAGTCAAATACAGAATCAGGGGGGCCTGTCAATTAAGAAGATAAACAAATTGGTGAATAATAAATTAATTGAACACGACTCCAAGATGATAAGCAACAAAAAATAACCATTTCCAATAGTTGTCCTCCGCAACAAATTCGGATTAGAGTCATCTTCATCCTCTTGAGCACTAAACCTGAAAAATATTCAGATATTCACGAATGAACATACAGCTGTCTTGATGCTATCCCTGACTCAAACCACTTAAATGAAATGTTACAATTAAATTCAATATCAGGTACTACTTATCGAGAGAAAAAATCCAATTTCAAGCAATATTACCATTAACTTAGGACAATGTCTCTGAAGCCTAAATAATATGCTCAAAGTTTAATCACTTGGGAACGTTCACTCAAATATTTCAGCTTCACAAAAGACAGGGGGACTGATGTATACTATATTATGCGAAACAAGGAGACCTTTAGAGCAGGCACTTACTGACTTTCATGGTCTGAGGATGAAGCAGCCCTTCCATTATCCATCCCAGACTTATACTCAAAGGAGACATATTTGTTACCATTTGGCACCTGGGACTCCTGATGCTGCACATGACCTCGTGCAGTAAGTCGAAATCCAAAATAATCTAGAACATAAGAACCAATCAAGTCCAGTTTAACCATAAACATTATGAGGTAAGAAATAAGAACCCCTATGATACCTCCTAAGCATATGTAATATACACCATAACCAAGTATAGTTCAAACAAACTAGTACCTTCTGTATAAAAGTACAGTTGACTTTGCCACAAAAAATCCAAAGTTCAAACTGCAGCTAATTATTCCTAAAAAAACTACAGCCAACAGGAAGATAATGCCCAAATAAAACTAGCACAAACAAGTTAGAACCAAACAAACCTGATCAATTACAAACTGAATTTTTTCCTTCCAGATCAGTGCTTCCTGGATGTTAAACGCTGCCATCTGAAAGATAATGCATGATTGTCAATTGTAGCAATATGAATGCATATAAGCAACTAATAAAACCGCAACAAGGCTCCATCTGTACTAAGCAACATAAAGATCTTCTTGGTACTGCGATTGCACAAACCCGCCACTATCTAACGCACAGTTAACAAGAAAATTCATTTGTCCAAAGTGCTCATTGAGTGGTAAATGCACCGAGCAAGTCCCAGATGGCCAACAATTAGCAAAAACTCAAAATGACAAACCACTTGATAGAGTGAGGCAAAATACGCCTTGTGCAAGTGAACGTTGTCTACTGGGCCAGTACTAACATGGCCGTACAAATAACATCTTTCCCTATGAATGAAAAGAAACCCACCAAACAGAAAAGCACCAGATGTGCTCTCTTGTTAGCATGAGTTCTCCAAAACAGAACAAATAGCAGGAAAATTGTCCCATAATTATATAAGGTAAAAAAATACTAATGACTTCATATATTTAGACAAAGCTTGCTCACCGTGATCCTGTGATATTTCTCCTTCTGGTTGTAGACAGATAGCACATAAACCATCTGCAGCAACAAAATTCCCCATGATCAAACAATTTTTCATTGGAATTTGGCAGTAATCGACCCGCTGAAAAATTATCAAAGGAAATCGAAAAAATCGGAATGAAAGGGATGAACCAAGTGATTTAACCAATGGAAGCTGTCTCTAGGATAAAAAGAGCTAAATGAAAGGCCAATCAATTATACCTCCAGAAACTGGATCCAAGTTCCAACTAACAAAATTTTGACAGAATTCAGAAACAATAGTCCCGTTAGCTATTGGACTATTTTAACAGAGGCCTCCTTTTCATTTTCCTGAGAGAAACCTAGAAAACACAATTGGTGATCAACAGACTATAATAGTATACTAGATGTGTCTTTGACAGACAGCCTAGTTCCGTTATTCGTTTCCATAAGTTCGGAAACTCCGAAAAACGAAATGAAATTCCATAACTTGTACACATAGGTGCCCACTTCATAAGAACACTCCTAAGGTTGCCTACAGTTGATAAGGAAAGTACTACATTCGTTAGCCTATTTGCAAAACAAGGAATGGAAAGGTCATCTCTCAATAGACTTGCTACAGACTCAAACCCTCCTAGACTTCATGCAAAAGACATTTAATTTGTGCATCTGCAAAGACTAGGCAACCGTGAACGAGAACTAGTAACACACATATGGGGCTTCTTTTAGGCTGGATGTGAAACGCTAATTCAATAAACAAAGAGTCGTGAAACTAAATTGGTACAGGCTATAGCAAACATCAAGCAGGATAGGACAAACTCACAAGGCCATGATGAGTCTTCAAGCCTCGGTCCTCCACCCTACAATTGCCGTCGATCAAAAGGGTCTTGATTGGTACCTGAATCTTTCCATTTTCCATTATCATCCAAAAGAAAGATTCCTCCATACACATGAGGCATGATTGACTTCATTCGTTACTTGACATTGCCAGAAAAGGTTGAACACAACAAAACTCCATATGATACAAAAAGGAAAACAGGAAGTATTAAAAATGAAATGAACAGAAGAAGGCTCTTTACCCACTTTTAAGAAAGAAAGGAAAAATAGAGAGGCAGAAAGAAAAAATAGGATTCCAGCTCTCACAGAACTAGTTCAGGAACATCATAAGGTTCTGGTTTTCATGGCCTACCTTAAGGATCTTTTTTAATGAATGTTGTTAATAAAAAAAAACAACAAAGGTTCCCCTCGAAAGCTTTGCATCATTTCATCTTAATACAAGCAGCCAAGGCTAAGCAGTGGAGCTGCTTCAACATCTATACACCAGAATTCTCTATTTTTCGCAAAGCAGAAACAACTTTCGGTAACAAATGGGAAAGGAATTTTGTAACTAGGGAGCCAGTTTACCTGATTATCCTGCGGCTTTTTCTTGTAGTAAGCAAGAACCCTCGGCTCGAGCACGAAATATCTCATATGAATGAAGGATCGCCCGATCTTCCTCCTCCCATACCGCACCATCCACCCTTCATAGATCACCTTGGACATTATTCTTGCTTCTGTTTTCCTATCCCTCCGGAATCGCCTCGCCTCGCCTCGCCTACAAGTGACACTAGTTGAGAGCAGTTTTCCCTTCTGTGTTTATTCTCTTTAGTTTGGAGTCTCGCAGAATTTGAAGCTCGGACGGAGGCAGATCGTCGCTTCCTTCACTGCGAGATCACCGTCGAAAGTCTCAGGTGACCTGATTTGTCATGGCTAAAAAAAGCTGAAACCCCGGCCGCGGCCGGTGCTGGCGCGATGAATCCTAGTTCAGGAGTCCGAATTGGCAAAAAAACCTCTTCAATTTCAGCATCGGCGGAAACTTTCCCGAACCCGACGATTTAACTGCAAAGGGTGTGGAGCCGGAGAGGGAAGGTTTAGGGGCGCGAGAGACGCCGGAGGATGGATGGAAAGCACAAGCACGAAGATCGGAAAATGAATGCCGCGGCGTGGTGGAGATTTTTTGGACGGAGGAGATTCTGACGGACGGAAGGACGGAGGGAGTTGGAGCTTGGAAGATCCCACACGACGCAAAGCAAAGTTTTAAAAATAAAATCACTGATATATGGTAAAAAAAAAAAAAAAAAGAGGTCAAAATTGGTACGTGCGCGGTCGGGATTGGTGGAGTTTTGAGTTTTTCTTCTACCGCTGCTTGCTTGGGATATTTGGGCGTAGTAATAAAAGTTATTATTATATTCCTTCTCCGGCACCGGCAGCGCCGTGAAGTGATGCTTTCAGAATCAGTAGAGCAAAAGACTACGCCGGCCGGTGGCTGGTTGCGGTGGTGCACTAGTGCCGTGCTGCGGACTCGACATAAGGTAAGATCTTACATCAAAACAACGGCTAAATGCCACATTTGGTCATTGAGATTACTAATTCGTGTCATGTTTATTCACTAAAAAAGTTTAATATCAATTTTGGTCACTCGAATTACTGAATCAGGTCACATTTAGTCACTCTCCCATTAGCCTCCGTCCAACTCCGGTCACTCAAATTACTGAAACATGTCACATTTAGTCACTCGAATTACTAAAACAAGTCACGTTTAGTCACTCTCTCGTTAGCTTCCGTTAATGGAGTTGGACGGAAACTAACGGCAGAGTAACTAAATGTGACCTGATTCAGTAATTCGAGTGACTAAAATTGGTATTAAATTTTTCTAGTGATTAAACATGATACGATTTAGTAATATCAACGACCAAATTTGTCATTTACCCTCAAAACAACCATCAATATAATTTAATCCATGATATTTCGTCGTCACTCGTCAATACATGTATCCTTATGTTTGGCCCGACTTTTAGGAGTGTTTTTCGGCCTCAAAAGTTTAAACAGGGTCAAACACCTCTAAAAGCTCGGCTTGTGAAAAACTGAAAAAGTATTTTTGTATAACATAAAAGCAGAAGCTCCGATTTGGAGTTTTTGCGAAAACCTGTTTTGAAAATACAAGACTATCCTTACCATATTTTAATCTTATTTCAGAAAATATAATTTTATTTTATTTCAATCATTATAAAAATAAATAAATTATCAAATCATATTATTTAACATAAAAGAAATCTAACAAGATCCATATTGACTACTTTTTATTATTAGAATTTTTATTCATATTTTATATTTTAAATCCTTTATAGTCATTTTACATAACCTCTCATATTAAAAAGCACTTCTAATAGTTTTTAAGCCAAACACTCGACTGCTTTTTTTAAGTACTTCTCTAAAAACTCCAGCCAGAAACTGCTTCTGCAAAACCTACAACAAGCCAAACTAGCCCTATATTAGATTTGACAAATTTGGAGTATTAATGTGCGTTTACGGTTGAAATATGTGTATGTCAAATATATGTATTTGAAATGTAAAATGATTGTGAATTTCAATACCCACTTTATCGCCATTAGATCTAATAGTTTTCTCATTTTGTAAATTGATGGTGAGATTAGATCAAGGGTATTTTTGTACAATAAATATAAACACACATGATTTCTACTCTTATTAATTACATATTACTCACCCCCTCTGTCTAAAAATCTTAAATAGACTCTCTCCTCTCAACTCTATCTCAACCTTTCTTCTTCTCTCGTCTATTAACCCCCACCCCACCACCTCCCGACGAGCAGTCACCACCACAAGCAGCCACCACCATGAGATCGCAATCTTTGTATGCCGTCACAATCCTCGGTCGTCTTCACCCGCTGCCGTCGTGAGATATCCGCCTCTCCTCTTCCTCGAGGTCGCCATTGTCGCTGCCTCCCCCTTCCTCTGACTCCACCACCTCCCGTCTTCACATTGCCGCCACAAGGTCATCGCCTCTCCCCTGCCTTCCCCTTTCCTCATCCCCTGATTTTTTTCATATATGTGATTTTTCAGATTCCATATCTGGTTTTTGTATTAGTCTCTAGTGGTACGCTACCAGTACCACTACCAGTGGTAGCGTACCACTAGACGAAAATCACTACTACTAGCGCACTAGCGGAGTGATACTTTTTTGCAGGTGGCGGAGCGAGTGTGATTGAAAAGACTTCATCGGAAAAAGTCGGTTGGTCAGAGAAAGTTTGACGATCGGAGTGGAGAGGCTTTAAAATAATGTATTTAATATGAGTTTTTGATTCTCAATGTGTAATTAATACAAAAAATTAATTAATAATATCTTTTTTTCATACCCAAATTGTCCTTGGTTGTGAATCTCACAACCTCACTTAGAGGAAGTGATCGTATATCACCCCAATTATACTAAACAAATATGTTGTATCTTTTTTTTTTATCACAAAACATACCAGAAGTTCAAATCTGAAAAGCATATGACTTTTGCATAACGGATAGCTAGCCCATTGAGTCTCCGACAAGTATTTTATGGTGCTTGGTACTATGATTTTCATAATTTTTATTATTTTAATGGATTTTTATTAAGCAATTTCTAATTTCTAATTGAATGATAATCTTAAAATCTCAATAAAATTATCATTAATTAGACTATTGCATATCAAATTACAGTATTGAATATGCAAAATTAATGTAAAATTCTTACTGATAGACCCAGTATTCAACCGACGTCGTACAATACGTTTTACCACACATAATTTACCAATTAACAGCACAATTTTATCATGCCTTCTGTAACCTCACCTACCCGTGAGAGAGATGAGCAAAGGTAAAATGTATTGTTATTTTCAAGTAATTAATCCTTTCTCATGGTTGGTATTATTTGTTTCTTTTACACACCAACAAAACCACCACAATTCCTTCCACGTGGCTAGCTACATGAAAATGATGGTGGTGACAAAAGTTACCATTTCTCTTCATTATGTTTATGTAAAGGTGTTGTACCAAATATCAAATACAACCCACCCATCCAATTTCATGAACTCATAAAACTTACACTCCCTCTATCCTTCTTCCACGTAGACCAACAGAAGCTAGTTGTGCTTCTTTTACTTAAGTGGATGGCTGGAGGAGAAGTAAGCTTTCTCAAAGTACTTAACCCTTTTGATGGATTTGTATTACAAATCTCTTTTATCACACTCTAGCCACCCAAGACACATACACATGCACGTGGAGCAAGGTGGGAAGGTATACCATTTCATTTCCTCTCTATATGTGCTACTTATGTATGGGTTTTATTGTGCTTGCGAGGATACTAATGGTACATGGGTGGTTACCCTCGCCCAATCAAGTTGAATTTTACATTCTTATGTTAATTTATCAATTTAATCAATGCATACGTACACCACCCATGTTAGAAGCAGGAGGCACCTATAAATAGGACGCTTATTTATGTTTTCTCAATAGTTCATTTTGGAGTTGAACTTCTAAAACTCTCTCTAGAGTCGGCTCAATACGCCGCTCCCGGTTACTCTCCTCTCAAATACTGACTTGAGCTTCGGAGCAGGTCCCCGCCGACCGGTTCCTCTTTTGCAGGTGTCCATCTAGGAGGCTGGTGGTGGTGGACGTTGGCCAGGAGGAAGATCGGCGCTCACCGGACCTCAACAAACATTGAAGCAGGCTCCTCGGAGCTTGGCATCAACAATTGGCGCACACCGTGGGGCCCGATGAGATTAATACCAACAAACCGTCAATCCAGCAAGACGAGGTGGATACAGAGGATCAGCAACCCGAAGCTGGGATTCGTCAAGATGCAACTCTAAACATCAATCAAAGTTCTATCTCCAAGAATCGAGGATCCCAACGAGATGGACATGCAGGATATGCAAACCGAAGATGGTATTCGTCAAGATGCAACTCCAAACATCGATCAACTTGCTATCTTGAAGAATCGAGAATCCTAACAAGATGGGCATGCAGGATATGCAACCCGAAGAAGGGATTTGTCAAGATACAACTCCAAACATCAATCAATTTGCTATCTATCTCCAAGAATCGAGGATCTCTCGACCAAGATTGAGTTGTGTCGATCTTTGGTGTGGAACTACGGGCCCTCAACCCCACTAGTTTCTCCGTCGATTTGCCGCGAAATCATAAGATCCTCAAGTCCTCTCATGGAATGGCGCCCTGACATCAACAATTGGCACCTATAGTGGGCCTTGATGAAAAGTTCCATCAACAATTTGCGCTTGCTATGGAGCCCGGTGAAATTTTTTACAAATTATCATTGTCAACGTCAAACCCTCTATGAGAGATGGTGGAGAAACCTGATGTCGTGGAATTGACAACGAGGTCGTGGGGGCACCGGTTTAGGTCCGCCTCTCGTAAGATCTACGTTTTACCGAGGAAGCCCATGTGGTCTACTTTTTAAGTAGGCACACCTCCATCAATGAGGTCAAGGATTCAATTCCCCGCGAATTGCTATTGTGAAAAAAATATCCACTTTTTCACCACATCACTCTGCCACCCATCTCTTCCGAATCCTGATGGGACAACTTTTGCATCATCATCACCAATCTGACAGAGGAACCTCTTCCCTTCTCATGTTCCAATCGAGAAAAATCCAAGTATGAGAAAGTTTTTGTAAACTCAAAAACTATCTGGTAATCCCTCCTATCTCATTTATACTTGATATCAAAATTCTCCTATGATGTTGCATAACCCAAACTATTATTGTCCATACCACTCATACACGGACAACACTAAACACACAATAAGGCCGCATAAATTGACACTGGTAGCCTGCAATGATTGGTTGGGGTCGCCTACCAAGATTGGCACGATTCTTCATGGTGCCCACCACGACTGGTGCGGCCTGCCTGTCATAATTGACACGGCTTTCCATGATCGCTCGCCACGATGGTGCGTCCCTTCTACCATGATTGACTTGGCTCTCCAACAATTGCTTGCCCAATTTGTATCTGTATGCATAACATGATTTACATCACTCATCTAATGATGTGTTACCAATAGAAAACTTTGGTTCAATCTTAATTTTCCTATTGGTAAGGGGGCAATTGATAGATCCAGTATTCAACCGACGTCGTACAATACGTTTTACCACACATAATTTACCAATTAACAACACAATTTTATCATGCCTTCTATAACCTCACCTACCCGTGAGAGAGATGAGCAAAGGTAAAATGTATTGTTATTTTCAAGTAATTAATCCTTTCTCATGGTTGGTATTATTTGTTTCTTTTAC